AGGTCGGGATACGGCTCTGTCCACTCTCTGGTTAAGCTTACTTTGTAGTCTCACGTCTTGGTACGAAAAACGAATCAATTTCCCTTGTATCAAACTCATTACGAATGCTTGTGTTTGTTCTGAACGTTGAACCCAAACGTCGGTTGAATCCGGAGTTGTGCACGGTAGGAATCGAGGTCAAATTAAAAGAACCTAAAACGTAGACAATCATGCGCCCGTTATCTGAATAGAAAGTATACTTGAAAATATTACGTGGAAGCCCGTGCGTCCGTGCGTACGCTTGGTTACGTTCCTGAAGGTCATCGAAGTTAGTTCACCAGAGAGTCATCGCATAGGAGGATAACAAAGGGATTGAACGGCGTTTTTTAAATGTTCATGCCCTTATGAACACAAATCGGTTACATCCATATTGCATGAAGCCCGCTAGGTCAATTCACCACAGGGTCATTACAGTCAATTCACCACAGTGTCATAACAGTCAATTCACCACAGTGTCATTACAGTCAATTCACCACAGGGTGATTACAGTCAATTCATCACAGGGTTCATTACAGTCAATTCATCACAGGGTCATTACAGTCAATTCACCACAGTGTCATTACAGTCAATCACCACAGGGTCATTACAGTCAATTCATCACAGGGTCATTACAGTCAATTCACCACAGGGTCATTACAGTCAATCACCACAGGGTCATTACAGTCAATTCATCACAGGGTTCATTACAGTCAATTCATCACAGGGTCATTACAGTCAATTCACCACAGGGTTCATTAAAGTCAATCACCACAGGGTCATTACAGTCAATTCACCACAGGGTCATTACAGTCAATTCATCTCAGGGTCATTACAGTCAATTCACCACAGGGTCATGACAGTCAATTCACCAGAGGGTCATTATAGTCAATACATCACAGGGTCATTACAGTCAATTCATCACAGGGTCATTACAGTCAATTCATCACAGGGACATTACAGTCAATTCATCACAGGGTCATTACAGTCAATTCACCATAGGGACATTACAGTCAATTCACCACAGGGTTATTACAGTCAATTCACCATGGGGACATTACAGTCAATTCATCACAGGGTCATTACAGTCAATTCATCACAGGGACATTACAGGCAATTCACCACAGGGTCATTACAGTCAATTCCCCATAGGGACATTACAGTCAATTCACCACAGGATCATTACAGTCAATTCATCACAGGGTCATTACAGTCAAATCATCATATGGACATTACAGTCAATTCACCACAGGGGCATTACAGTCAATTCATCACAGGGACATTACAGGCAATTCACCACAGGGTCATTACAGTCAATTCATCACAGGGTCATTACAGTCAAATCACCATATGGACATTACAGTCAATTCACCACAGGGTCATTACCGTCAATTTACCACAGGGTCATTACAGTCAATTCACCACAGTGTCATTACAGTCAATTCACCACAGGGACATTACAGTCAATTCATCACAGGGTCATTACAGTCAATTCACCACAGTGTCATTACAGTCAATTCATCACAGGGACATTACAGTCAATTCACCACAGGGTCATTACAGTCAATTCACCACAGGGTCATTACAGTCAATTCATCACAGGGACATTACAGTCAATTCACCACAGGGTCATTACAGTCAATTCACCACAGGGTTCATTACAGTCAATTCACCACACTGTCATTACGTCTAAGACAAGTACATTTGAATTGAATATGATGACAAAGTTGATATGTTTCTGTAGAGTATGTTCTACATGTAAGTGTCAGGATTCCTCTCGGTAGTTGTGACCAATAAACTATTAAAGCAGTGGTTTCTTTAGGTATTTTTAATTGTCTGTAACTACATACAAAATGTATGGCATAAGAAATGTTAGGTGCCACAAATGTTACAAAATACCTGTTAACTGTTATATTCAATATGTCTCCCAAATCTTTGAAATTTGTTTTTTTCTGTCCCCACCCAGACGTTGTTTCCAATGAAAAGGTGATTCATATTTTACATTTTTGATAAAAAATGATGCATTCCTCCCGATTAAAAAAATCAACGATACATGCTTCGGAAATGAGCCATTAGCTACCTAAACCTAATAAAAAAGAGAGTAACATTTACGTTCTGAAAGGGTCAATATGAACTTTTTATGTAATAGCGATTTGATAACAGCATTTGTAAAACAAAGCCTGCTTTGCTGGTTTGTGGTACAGTAGCCAAATAACCCTAGTTAAACGGGAACATAGTCATTTGGTTTGTTGAACAGCACTCTAATACCAATATTTGTGAAAAAGGGACCTGATAACATTGTTTATGAAACATGGGCCTAATAACCAGGTTTGTGAAACGGGCAAAATTCTATTGTCTGTGTTATAGGGGCCTACTACTCGGGTTGATGAAAAAGGCGGCCATGTAACTAGGTTTTTTTTAAAACAGATGGCTGATAAATAATAACAGGACCTTTAACTTGGTTTGTGAAACAATGGCATCATTACCTGATTAGAGGAACAATGGCCTGGATACATGGTTTGTTAAAAATGCGGCCTCATTTCAAGGTTTGTGAAATAGGTATAACACAGATGCCTAATTTCCTCGTTTGTGAAACAGGAACCTAACAACACTCTCGTATGTTAAAGTCCTGTCAACATTGTTAACGAAACAGAGAGCTTACAACCTTGTTTGTGAAACAAGGGTCTAATTAACTGGTTTGTAAGACAGAGAACTACTTACCTAGTTTGTGAAACAGAGAACTTGCTACCTGGTTGTGAAACATTGTACTACTTACCTCGTTTGTAATACAGTGAACTATAATGTTCTTACCTTGTTTGTGAAACATTGAATTACTTACCTGGTTTTTAAAGCATTGAACATGTACTACTTACCTTGATTTTAAAGCACGGTTCTATTTACCTAGTTTTTAAAACATTGTACTACTTACCTTGTTTTTAAAGCAATGTACTACTTATCTAGTTTTTAAAGCATTGCACTACTTACCTGGTTTTTAAAACAATCTCCTACTTACCTGGTTTGTGAAACATTGTACTACTTACCTTGTTTGTGAAACAGAGAACTTGTTGCCTGGTTTGTGAAACACTGTACTACTTACAATGTACCTGGTTTGTGAAACACTGTACTACTTACAATGTACCTGGTTTGTGAAACACTGTACTACTTACAATGTACCTGGTTTGTGAAACACTGTACTACTTACAATGTACCTGGTTTGTGAAACACTGTACTACTTACAATGTACCTGGTTTGTGAAACACTGTACTACTTACAATGTACCTGGTTTGTGAAACACTGTACTACTTACAATGTACCTGGTTTGTGAAACACTGTACTACTTACAATGTACCTGGTTTGTGAAACACTGTACTACTTACAATGTACCTGGTTTGTGAAACACTGTACTACTTACAATGTACCTGGTTTGTGAAACACTGTACTACTTACAATGTACCTGGTTTGTGAAACACTGTACTACTTACAATGTACCTGGTTTGTGAAACACTGAAGTGCTTACCTGGTTTGTGAAACATTGTACTACTTACCTGGTTTGTGAAACATTGTACTACTTACCTGGCTTGTGAGATCGTGAACTACTTACCAGGCTTGAGAGATTGTGCACTACTTACCTGGTTTGTGAAACATTGTACTACTTATATAATTACCAGTTTTTGTGAAACATTGTACTACATATATAATTACCTGTTTTTTTGGAAACATTGTACTACTTACCTGGTTTGTGAAACATCGTACTACATATATAATTACCTGGTTTGTGAAACAGAGAAGTACTTACCTGGTTCGTGAAACATTGTACTACTTTCCTGGTTTGTGAAATAGAGAACTTGTTGCCTGGTTTGTGAAACATTGTACTACTTATATAATTACCTGGTTTGTGAAACACTAAACTACTTTCCTGATTTGTGAAACATTGTACTACTTACCTGGTTTGTGAAACATTGTACTACTTATATAAGTACCTGGTTTGTGAAACAGAGAAGTACTTACCTGGTTGGTGAAACATTGTACTACTAACCTGGTTTGTGAAACATTGTACTTCTTACCTGTTTTGTAAACATGTGAACTACTTTTCTGGTATGTGCATCATTTTACTATTCACTTTGTTTGTGAAACATTATACTACTTACCTGGTTTGTGAAACTTTTAACTACATGTACTTACCTGGTTTGTGAAACATTGCACTACTTACCTGGTTTGTGAAATATTGTATTACTTACCTGGTTTGTGAAACAGACAGAGAACTACTTACCTCGTTTATAAAACAGTTGTCTTATTATAATATCAAGTTGATAATTTTTAAGATGTTGATGTTTCCTATCGGTGCCGATTTCGTTCTGGTGTATTGTACCAGAGAAACTATTTTGTTTTATTTCTATAACTTATTTTTTTTTTTATCTCCCTAAGGCTTTTATTTAAAGAGGAATATGTAGATATTTGTGAAATTGAATTATTAATTTAGAAATATATATGACACCCAAATTTACTAATTTATAAAACTTCAATTTCCACATTTACTGCATTCCTCCGAATTCAAATATTCAACGCTACTTACTACGGAAATGATGAGCCATTGGCTACGTAAACTTAATTTACCCCACCGAAGTGCCTTGTGAATATATGTATAGACAATGTTAGTACATGTTTGTCTCCTAGTAGATGCGTACACACGTAGTTACCTAGTACACAGACATAGGTAAGACCTTAAAGCGTGTATATTAATTATTCTCCCACATTAATATTGCATAACTACAGGTTGAGGTTCACAACAAAGAGTTATCTACAGTATGTGCTGCCGTTATGTTACACTTTGTATATGATATTGCATATATTCATATCTTTCTTACTATTGCAGAGATCACGGTGCACTAACTGGTACTAAAAGCCTGCTAACCTGTACATGTTACACCAGGTGATTAACTCGCTAAACGTGATGTAAACTGTAACTAAATCAGGTATAACGTCACTGGTGGGTTTCCAGCACACTAACCTGCCCCAGATTTGTTTTTATATGTTAAACAAATGTAAATATCCTCCACATAGATGAACTCACGCCTTTGACCTTTCATCTCTGCATACTAATGAAGTGACGTAGGTGTATCTCTGCGGCAGAGGTTTCGGGGACTAGCAGTTTTTGTGCTGAGTGAGGTTACATGTAGTGTACATCGCTCCGGGCAATCATGAGAGGAGCTATCCTATCACTCGTTTTAGTTGGTTTATGTGGTAAGTATTCAAATTTTGTTTTTTCGTTTAAAAATATTGCATTGTAGTGCGGCTTTTTATGTCATTGTTAAAACTATTTAGGTACTCTGCAATCTGAAATCCCAAATGTTCCTTTCTTCAACGCGATCCTCACTGACCTTCTGACTGAAATGATTCATTATATTACATTTACATTAAAGATATTCCGGAATGTATCGTTCAGTATCACGTGTATGGTGTGCACAGCGCTCGAGTGAGAAACAGCCGGAAAACTGTTAGTTTTGATCGATACATTATTTGATGATACCTGTTTACCAGGTGTATGTTTTGTATAACAGGGCCAGATACACAAGGATCCGTACGGTGTTGTGGTGAATATGTAAACGAGCATAATATTTTTACTTAGATCGAGGGGATGAGCCTCCTCACATGTAACAGAGACGGTGTGGTTAAGTACGTACGGAGCTTCAGGCTAGTCGTTTCTGTTTCACTGCCTTTTATTTTCCGATATTAATATTATAATTTACGTAAATAATCTTGAGGCACTCCTCGGCTAGAGATAAGATTTTGCCCATTTTCACTGATATGAATTCAACAATTGATAGACAAACGTCCCTTTTGCTTGCCGGCTATCACAGTGCAGCTTAGACCATTGGTAGAGCCTCAGACCTTCACGAATGCACACAAATATAGTTTCTCAAATCCAAAAGTTACAAAACTGACATTCGTTTTTCAAAGATCACCTTTTTTCAATATGTTTTGCGTGTTTTCGTTATTTTACTTTCTTGTCGTGTTTGATTTTTCATATTTATTTTGTTTATTTTAATATTAGAGGTATAACAATTGAATAGGCGTGACATTTGTATTGTTGTATGAAGAAGGACACAGATTTATGAAATCACGTATTTAGAATAACTTTACAACAAGAAGGACCCTTGATGTCAATATAACCATCATTTAATGTCCATAACTTGTGCATTTACTGTCAATGATAGGAAAAACTTAATTTGAGATCCGGTTCAGACCACGTGCCCGCCCCTGTTTTCGGACGCCTCTGGTCAGACTCAAACTTAAACCCGACAATTGGTATTTGAAGAATATCATTTTATGAAAGGAAAAAACTTCTCTTGTATTTGTCTGTTAGATATATCTATATATGATAATTTACATGTACCTTGTCAGAGTCGGGCGTAACAATAAACTAGCTTAGTTATCCAAACCCGGGACATGTTGTTCGAAGCCTGGTAAGCTTAATCAGACTAAATGGGAAATTTCAAAATGCTATTTTTCAGAAAAAAGTGAATTTATCTTAGTAGTTTTATGTTTAAATGTAAAGAGCTTTGAGTATACATATGATGAAACGATTGCGGTGTATAATGGATAGCTTATCATGCTAAATACAACTCGCCTCTGGGTGTATTACGTATAATTATGTAACTGTTAACCTCTCTAATACATCACTATCATGCTCAAACTCTCGTTTTTATTAATGTCAACGATTCCAACTTCTATTGCAAAATATAAAAGCCCTTTTTGTACTGTACTACAACAACGGAAAGGGCTTATTGGATGTTACGTCAAGTTGGCAATGCTTACTATATCTGTCTGGTGTATCTGCAATCGGCAATCTGCACAACGTCGCGTGGTAACGTTCCGTGGCGCTGATATATTCCCTGGCACGTGTTTTACATTTCAATAGTGTTTCACATTAAAGGAACATTAACATATCTGTTCGTGTCACTGTATCCCCATCAGTGCTGGTTGTCTGTATTATAATGTTACGGCATATAGGGATCACGTTCGTACCAATCAGGTCACGTGTTTGACCTTGACAGGACAAAGAATAAGTTCTGTATCTGTAACGTGGTTGCAAATACAGACGATTTCCAGGGCAGAACCGAACGAAACGGGACATCGCTTTGTTTAAAACGCAATTGAGTATTAAACTCTTTTGTCTTTCTTTTCAGAACCAGAACTCTCTTGAAAGTGAACAGTGCTATGATAGAGTGTATACGATTAAGAAATACATAGAAATTTCGTCCGCAGGCGAGGCTGGTTTGTTATTACAGAAATTACAGAGTTGGTAATAAGATGGCCATTGTTTTTGTACTGTAAACAAATGTTAAGATAACAGTTTCGGTAACTTCAAATACTCCAGGACAAATGGAATGCGAGAAATTTTCTAAATTCTTCGACAGTGACTAAACCTCATCAATTAAAAGATAGATTGTAGTAGGTTAGAAAACGTTTAATTATGTAACTTTCCGTGTACGGTACCAATATGTCCAAAGCATTCGGTGCAAACCAACGAGGTTTGACCGAAAATTACAACGTTATAACAAGTTCAAATTAAAATGACATGATTTTCAAACAGCATGGTACGTGGTATACAAGATCCCCCTAATGTCATTCAGTTCTGTATGCTTATGCCCCGACACTCAAACAACCCGCGGGATGTCTCTCTTGCTGTTACGGTGCCACTAATTACCAACACGTCATTGAGGTATTATCCTCTTGATAGTGCCGAGTGTATTGCTTGAACTTCTGTTGGGTCATATATCAAACAACTAACACGTAGCAATCGGATGTTTAGAAGTTATTTCAACGCTGTATATGTAGATGAAAGGGTGCACAGAATCTTAAAATACCTATTTCACCCGTATCGAGACCAGTGTTGCTTTCACACTACTAATTCTAACAGTTACATTTACGTACATGTTGCATGTACATATAGTACACGGTACAAAACTATTTTGGTATATAATGTACTGCGGTAAAATGGTATTACTCCATACACAGATATAGCAAGTCGATTCTACATGTACTCCATAGGCCATTCCTATCAAACAAGTACTACACACAGATACTATATTAAGAGACTATCTCCGTCCAGATACCACTTTTGAGGCAATTTGACTTTCATTGTTACCGTATTTTCAACCCAATGATCTCACCTGGCATCTATGTCTGCTGGTACCTTCTATATTATGATCATCGTGTAAGATCTCGTGGAAGAAAGATACCATACCGTACCGTTAGACCAAGGGACTGTTTAGTGGGATGGTCCTGTAACAGCTATAGTCGTTTTAAGGACGCACCAGGTTTTGCTGGTGGAGGAAAAAACTGGAGTGCCCGGAGAAAAAATCACCGTCCTGTGGCCAGTACCTGGCGACTGTCTCACGTAGGTCTCGAACCCGCGACCCAGTTTTGGTCAAAGGTAGCTTAAATTTACCTGTTTATATATATATCTTCACTGCATATTTCTATCGAACAATTCGTAAAATTGGTCTCACTTGGTGCACTGGTACTAGCCTCGTCTGTCAATACACCTATTATATAATCAAGGTTGCGAACTCCGTCCCCCTAGTAAAATGACCCCGTTCCAGAAAACATGCGATTTAGTCATAACCGTTCATAGTATGACGACGCCGTGAGCAGTCTAGATCGACAGGAAAATATTTTTTCTTTAATTTGATGTATGATTTGCCATATATCATGCAGTGTAATTTTCGGTAGACTTCATGACACATCGAAAAATGGTCGAATTTTAGTTGGTCGGACATTGTGCTGTCCACGGGATTACACGCTAAATCCCTATTGGGTAGCGCAAAACACACGGCATGTCCGCTATTTCGGTACACTGTTTCTACGATAGAAAACAAAATTACTTGTATGATAGTTCATGCCCTTACATTATCATGTCGGACACCCGAGTCCAGTTTTCAAGCTGGTCAGGCTGACGGTCGGAAATCTGAACAGAGCCTGCCATTTTTTGCGACCTCGGCGCTGATTGGTCCGTTTAATTTAGAAGCCAATCAGCGTGGAGGTAACAAAAGTTAGAGAAAATGGGAGGCTCTGTTCAGATTTCCGATCGTCTAGCTACTCACTAGGGATTTAGCGTGTTACCCCGTGAACAGTAATGTCCGACCAACTGAAATTCGATGTTTCATGAAGTCTACCGAAAATTATACTGCATGTTAAATGGCAAATTATACATCAAATTAAAGAAAAAATATTTCCTGTCGATCTAGGCTGCCCCCGGCGTCATGCTATGACGTAATCATTTAACTAGGCAACCATGATTAGATCATAGGTGTATTGACACACGAGGCTAGTACTATAGTCATAGACACGAGATCTGTCATTTGTTATTACAGACGAATGACCTTTCTTTAGAGATGTGTTAAAAGAGGTCAAATAGGATGTGCGTTGAATACAAATAGTCGTAAAATCTTATTTATGATTCATTTGCATTTTGATTGGACAGGAAGTAGTCAATCGCTCTTTTGAAGTTGTTGTTGACCTTGGGACTTGCACGTAAATGTAATCCAGGTATCCGTCAAAGACTGAAGGACATCCGTTAACGATATTGGCTATTGACAGGTTATGCAAATATGAAGATTTCGGGTTTCAGTAAAAAAAACAACACCCCGACGTTTTTGAATTTTAATGAGTTCGTGTGCTTTTTAAATTTGTGTTGCTAGGTCATTTAATGTTTGGGAAATACCTAGATATTTTCCTCAATTAAACTAACCCCGGTGTTGCAGCGGAGCCAGATCATATTCTGGTGGGTTCCAACTATGGCCGGAGGTTTTAAAACTAAAAAAATGTGTCAAGTACATGTTCTTTTATGAAGCACTATGAGTCTTCTTGATCTGCCACTGTAGTTAATATGAATATAGTTCGAGGTCCGAGTTGTAGAGTGTGCGTCTGAGGCTGTTGTTGACCATTAGAATATTTTGTACCAGATTATCAAGTGACCAGTGGCGTGATTGACCTCTCTCTACGTATCAAATGACCGAAACAACATTCTTTAATTTGGCGAACAGGTGAACGTCGAGGTCAAGTGACTGAGAATATTTAATGTAAACAGAACACACCTTATAAAGGGATATTTTGTCAGGTCTCAGCAGCCCATAAACACAGAAGGTTATTACCAGGGCCGAGGATGGCTTTAGTGACTGACAGTACTGACCTATGTTAACTTGTCCGTCTTATTGTCACCCCTATGGAGATTTTGTCGCTTCCAAACAGATTTAGTGAGTGGGTGAAATGAAATAACAGCTTTATGAAAACAATATTGACAGCATAATCTGCAGTGAAGATAATTTACTTTACAGCGAATATAGACCTCAATGTAAGACAATATAACATTGTCGGGGGTGTAAGTGATCATGCAAAAGCAACATAAAAAAAAAATCAAGCAGCTTCGCTTACCCATATACTATTATATACATAAAGAAGTGAGATACGATAGGATGACACAAAAAAAACCAGAAGTTTACTCATATCCCCCAAACAACTAAGTATACCTTACAGTCAAATGAGAATAACACCAACAGCAGATAGATACAAAAAATACCCCAAACTATTCGAATAAAATTCAAAACCAGTTTAAAAATGTATTCATGCATGTAATTGCCTATGGCGTCCTCTTCCGTAATTTAACGACGTATTATCAGTAGGTACAATCGGTCACAAGCAACGACAGCACGGGCATGTATATAGAAGTACATTAGACAGGCACCGTACCATCAATAAGGCTCGTTTCTTAAAACGTTGGTTCGGTAGTCATGTTATCTTGAGACATCTCACGAGATAATTTTATGTATCTATAGCATCCATGTTACTCGAAATACCTGTGTAAATATTGATAAGTGGTGTTCAAGTAGTGTAATAAACACGTAATGTTACACATTAAGTGTTTACAGGTAATAACGTATAACGTGGGAACTGGTCTGTCCATTGCCGTTATAGCGCATAATCCGTATTTAAATAGTTAAAAGTAGTTTACAGTGATCATTTAAATCAAGTTATTTACAATGGCCATGCAAATCAAGTAATTTACAGCGATAATTTAAATCAGGTAACTTACAATAAAGATTATGTCAACAGATAAACAGAGTCAACTCAACCAGCATATCAGCATCATAGTCACGTGCGTGGACGGGTTCGAAACTTTGTGCATGGATATGAATAGTGACAGGCACTTTATTTTCGAGATATTGGCGAACATAATTAATGGTGGCCGGCGTTCATGTCCGCACGTCCCCTGACATATCATAGAGTTGAACCGTATTGAAACTTACTAAACACAACTTAGATTTTTGATATGTATAAAACTGTCTTGCTTACGAAGCAGAAACGCTCCCTGAAATCTTACTTTGGCGGAAAAAATGAGGAAGTGAGTGAAGAGAATAATTTGGCGGAAAATGAGTTGTAATTTGGCGAAGAAGAAGAGAATACAATGTAACACATCGGCGAGAGGGCTGATAATTTGATGAGGAGTATTTACGCTTTATTTCTTAGAAATAACATTAGTTAATTGTCAGTTTTCCATCATGTTAGTTTACGTGTATATGATCCGACAAATGTGATTTCGAGAAATTTTCATGCATATAATAACAATTACATGTAAGGAGGCAGTACTCACATCGGATCACTTTTTGCAAAAATACTTATAAATCAATAAATATGTCAGCAAATCAGTTATGAAAATGATGTAATGTTAGAATAGATAGCCATGCACCATTTTATTCTACAGATGTTTAGTTTTTAAGTTCAAATAGCACAAGAAAACGTAATTCAAACTCAAATGTCAGTGTTTTGATTACGTTTTTAAAAAATGGCGCGTGCGACGACTATGCATTAAGTTTTGGACTATAAGAATAAATTCACACTATAGAAATACTTTTGTCATATACATTCGAAAAGTCATCATAAAATGTTAATATGCTGACAAAACAATATTCATTTTAAGCGTAAGATACTGCAAAATTCAAGCACTGATCCGATTTGGGACTCGACATTCGTAAAAACCGGAGACGCTGATTGCTGACTTCAGAGCGTTCTATAAAAGAACATCCGTCGATATTCTGCCTTTGGTGCAACCATAAATGGATATAATTCCTCCTCAGATTTTCCAATGCTTTAATAAAAAGATGGTTTGGTGATCCGATTTTGGTACTGTCACCTTACCATTTTTGAGGACTTTGGCCTGGGGACAGAACCCAAAACAACAACAACAACAACAACAACAACAACTTAACATGTCAAACATACACATGTACATGTAACTAGATGCTAATAACTATTACTTTTATAATAAACACAGGGTAAGGCATTGCAAAAGCTGTCGTCACAGGTCAATGTTAAAAGAAAATAGTGGAAAGATTTCAGATACATGAAAAGATTTTTTTTGTGTATATTTTTGTATTCTATCAACTAATAAGTAGTCACTGTCCCTGCACATTGAGGTACATTCAACGGTCACCATGGCAACATGTTCCTGTATAACGATAAAACGGGTAAAAATAGTACATACGGTTAACACACCATCATGACGTCATGCTTATTGTTTCTCATTGTAAAACGCAACAACACAAACAACTATTCATGTTTAAAAACCAACCTTTCCATAAGATATTTATTTAATAATTTTGCACGTCTTAAAAACTCAAATGATTATAAAAGCGTATCGTCCTGTGAAAGTTTAGTTTTCGCTAATTTACAGCTTAATTTCCGTTTCTGTAATATTGAAAGTGTTCAGGGAGACATAGATTCTAAGTTAAAAAATGAATAACCGAATTATAACCAAGCAAAGTATTTATAAACTATTAGACCCATAGAAATATCATTTTAGATTTCACATTTACGTACTTGTTTTAATGTCAGCTTAAGTTACTAATAAACCTCAACGAACAGAAATACCGTATAATTCATATGGTGCCAACTAGCTCTACAAGTCATTTCATCGCTAATAACTCAAACATTTCCACATAGCTTTACCGTTTTTTTCACCATCAGTAATATATTCACAGTTATTTAACGTTTCATTTCAGGTGCAACGGTGCCCACAGACAACGATGTTACCATTCATAGGCGTTCTAAGAGGAACTCCCAGTCCGAAATGACGAGGATCCGCAACATGTCTCCTTCAGACAGGCCCAACTGTCAACCAGGAGTTGTATGTATTTTCTTGGAGAAGCTTGTTTGAGAAGCTGTGGTACTCACAGGCGATTTCACCTTTAATATCTAGTAAAAAAGGATAGCTGTTTTGACGTAAAATACATGCACAACACTATAATTACAACGGGTTTTCACACTTACTGAGAAATTTGTTTTTGTTCTGTTTTTAATTAATCTTAAACGTAAGCAAATCTGGTTTTCGTTTTTTGAAATTGATCAAAACCCAAGATGGCCGGTGCTTTGCCATGATTGGTTTATTGGGTTCCTGCACTATCTCTTCAATAACTTTAGTTTTTCTATGTGAGGATCCTTGTTTGATCTGTCATAGACGGCGTTAGTACTCAATTGCTACGATTAGATTTTTCAAACGAAAATACCTTGATTTTTTGTGTATGTATTGATATGGGCTGAAACGGGTTACTGCAGTCCCTTTGTCTAGTACAATGCATATACATTGTAAAAACTGATAAAAAAGTCAATCAAGTAAGTTAGACATCACAGTCTCGATTATAATTAATTGTGTTGTAGCCTATCTCTATTGCATATATACTCACCTTTTAGTATCAGACAAGGCATTATTTCATACTTGCATTCTTATTGATGTTTATAGGCTACAATCATCTGTAGCTATGTACAAACTAGTTTACACTGCATGATACCTTATCGAACGAGCCCCAATGTTAATCCAGTCACGTTGATGCTATTTACGACGGTGTTGTTTTCGACCAGAAATTGCAATTTTATTTTGACGCGGAATAGGATCCACTTTTTAGGATTTTGACCGTTATAGCCCTTCTTTATCTTAACTACTTTACATCTTAAATTTGAAACAGCAGACACGATGACGATGCTTCCCCCTCTTCGTATTTGAATTTAAGATAGACCGATACATTAAGAAACATTTCCAGTTGTCAATTTGCATGTGCTCTTTGAAGTATAGCTATGGAGGTGATAGCAGTATGCTTTATCTATTGCCTGGGCCACTCTCGGTACTTCGGAGACAATAAATGTTCTATGTAAGGGTCAGACACACACTCCTAGTTGTGATAAGTCCACTTTAAATACATCAATAAGATTAACCGGACACTCTCGAGTAGTAAAGGTTTGTCAATACGTCATTCATCAATGAAGGCTTCGGTAACTTTCGTCAATCTTCGGTTATGTTGGGTACATATAATAAGTTATCAAATCGACTGTTGAGGAAATAAAAACATATTTCCGAAAAATTCTCAAAATATCGCTACTCTATTTGAATAAAATGAAAAATTTGTTCTGAAATAGGTCTGTTTTCGTTCGTTTTTTTTACGGTAAAATTGATAAAGTAAAAAGGCAAACATTGCAAAGGAAACAAAGCAAGTAGCCAAGTCTGCAGGTTAGTCGACTGGTGTAAGGTATGGCCATAAACGAGAAAAATTGACGACTACAGTATTAAGTGCACTTTTCTTTCCAGCGCGATTTGATAACTTATTATTTGATATAGAGTACATATAACGTAGATTGGGTATACACGAAGTAGTAAAAGCCAAAACAACAATCAGTGAATTGAGGTTAGATCATTACATCATTAGCGATATGGGTTTGGTACGTACTTATGTTGAAACATGCATAGGACCTGACAGTACCTAGCACACATTTGAATGCTATTAAAATGCACCTACACACGTTTATCTAAGTTTGTTTGTTTGTTTGTTCGTGTTTAACGGTCCATCGACGGCTGAGGTCATTTAGGGCCATGGCGATTTATTTATTTATTTATTTTATCTTTTTAAACAAACATGTGAGTAGCGAAGATAAAATCAGATAAAAATGTTCATTTTTAAAAGCATTTGCATTGTATGTGTAGATAATTAAAATAAAAAGGGTGTTACAAATAATAATAGAGATAACGATTAGATTATATGGACTATATGATATATATAACGTCAAAGAGGGTAAGGTGGGTTAAAAGACATCAGAGTCTATAGAATAGACCGATGCCTTTCAAATAGTTAAATAATGCCTTCGAGTTATCTAAGTAAGCAAACTACGTATGCCAAAAGTAATTTTCTCTCATACCACGTGTGATATAAACAATCCTACCTTTCTAATCACAATCTTCACACTTCTGCTTGGAGGGCATGTACATATGTGGAAAACTTTGGTCGATGTGTATTTAGGGAAGACAGCTAAGAGTGTCTGTGCTGGAAGCGGTATGTTGGTGTATTTGCCTCAATGTGATTGTGTTCCACGTGTTGTTGATGAAAGTGTGAGCTGATTGTTCGTAGTGGAAGAATAAGATAATTCTTATACATATGAATGCCAGACAACGTAGCTGAAGGCTCTGGTACACAGGTGTCATAAAGAAACATTTTATAATGACTGAATTACCCTGGGTATCGCAGATGTTTACATTTGTATTAGAAATACAAATAAATATGTAAAATAAAGATAAAACTCTGCACAACGTTTTCGAAAACATTCTATTATAAAGAGAATTTGACTTGGGGTACCAAGGAAGGCCACATAGACAAGGAATTTTACTGGAATTTGTCATATTTACTAGCAGATTTGTAGTGCATATGTTTGTTCATTTTGTACGGGAGTCTTGTGAACTTTTGTCAGTACCTGTCGTATTCACGTAGCGAACCCATTTATCTATATGTAATCTATGTTGTAGACGCCACCTAACATTCAGGTAGACACTACACAAAGACTATCTGATCTTCGCAACCGGTTCACTGTTGCTGGTATCCATGGTTACCTCGTGCCCTCCGAGGACGCTCATCAGGTAAGAGTTAATGTGACAACGTCATTCGATTTCTATCTCAAATAGCACGTGTTCATACGAAATGTATACGAAAACAGATAAGTATGACATTGACATAGGTTTAGTTTGATTTGATTTGATATGGTTTAACGTCCTATCAACAAAGGTAAGTTGAGGACATGCCCCTATGGATGTTATGTTTGCGTGTATGTGTGTATGTGTGCCGGAGTATGTTGTTGTAATTGCCTCCTTGCGAATCTGATGCCGACTTTATAGTGCTTCCTCACTGTTATTGCAATGGGTGCAGCATTAATGCAGTTATTCTAAATGAAGTATACTACTATGGCGGGTCTGGGTTTCGATAATCGCAGTTGACAAATTTCTAAGTTGGTTCGGGCACACATTTAGGCAGGAGGAACCGGTTTCGAATCCCTGTCTTGCCACTGTATTTCTACTGCTGGTCTACGTATGCAATGTGCCTTGAACGTAACATGCATACTCTTTATAGCCATTCGACGCCAATATCGATTTTCCTATTCATAACATACCTACAGTCCAACAGCGAAAACGTTGTTTCAGTGATGGGTTTTATATCTGAGCAGATCTAGAATTGTCCATCCCTTCATTGATATGTACATATGTTTTAATTCTGTTAAATTTACAGTGGAAGATGCGTAATTTTTATAGTCCTGAGACACGAATATAGCTCAGCAACAACAAAAAATAAGTTAAAGTTGTCTGTTAAAAATGTGAAAATCTGGAGCTGTCAATCAAAGTCATAAAAACGCAGTCTATACCATCTACCCTGCATCACTACACTTACGGCTTTCAAGTCAACGAAGTGGCTGCTACCTGACAAGGCGCGTCTAAGATCCCTAGCTGATAACTTTGTTGTGCATTTTAGTGGAGATAACAGGAATTCTAAAGCATAATGAGTAACATATGTTTCTGTTAATAGATTGACAGGGGTAATCTACTTCAACTACAGCGTAATAAAGTTGTTGTCTGTTTCATTTCTATTTTTAGAGTGAATACCCTTCGAACTATGACCTTCGACGAGCGTTTATTTCTGGCATGTCTGGATCAGCTGGTAAATCTTACAATTATTCATGCAAGGAGGAAAATCTTAGTTTAAAAAAGCTTAAATCTGAATAAAATAAAGCTCATAGGAGTTATCTGTACTGTGTTTGCAGGGTTCTAGCAACAATATCATAACTGAAACGACATGACACTTTTTTCATTATTTTGAATTTGTATCTATTTAAAAGTCAGTTTGAATGGATAGAAAGTGAAATAACTCATGTAATCAGTTTTTGCGTATTATAATTAGACGTGTTTGAATTTGAATTTACATCACAATTAATTAAGAGCTATTAACTGTTTTCTATAGATAACACGGACATTTTTGTGTCCAATACCAGTCAGAGGCAAAATAATATCTAACAGTATAGCTCTTTTCTGAAGTAAAGGAAAGAGGTGAGATAAACAATTAACATTGACGCGCTTTTATCCATTCGAGGACGGGTCATTTCAGCGAGAGACTTACTTCCTGAACATGGATTAAACTTTACCTTCAGTATTGGCCTTTTTCAGCAAAAAAATAATATTCCGAATGTTCACTAGAGATATGCCCCTTTCGAGACGATAGTACATATCTCTTAAATTGTGAGCATTAAACTAGGTAGTTAAATACAAAAGAGCTAGGTTAAGTTTGATGTTGTAATATTAAATGTAAAGACAGCTATACATCACAAATGAATTAATTTACATGTCAAACGCATAACGTATCCTAAGCTCTAACAGATAAGGCGTTTGACAATTATGTCCGCATACTGTATAGCGGGATTATTTTGCCGCAGATTAATTTTTCGACTTTTTTGCCCACCGTAATAGGAGCGAAATTATAAACACAGCGAACGGTAGTAAGCGATATGATAGACATAGTAATCAAATGTGAAGAGCGAAATTAATATTAGGCGAAAATGGATTTTATCAGCGAAGGGCGAACATTTCCCGGTATTCAGAAGTCTCCTTTGTGGATTAATGTGTACAACGTATGTTACCACAGTATTACGTGAAATGAACAACGTACAACGTACCTTACCACAGTATTACGAAAAATAAACAACGTACAACGTACCTTACCACAGTATTACGAGAAATAAACAACGTAAAACGTACCTTACTACAGTATTACGTGAAAAAACCCAACGTACAACGTACCTTACCACAGTATTACGTGAAATAAACAACGGACAACGTATCTTACTACAGTATTACGTGAAATAAACAACGTACAACGTTTTTTACCACTGTGTTACGTGAAATGAACAACGTACAACGTACCTTACCACAGTATTACGAGAAATAAACAACGTAAAACGTACCTTACTACAGTATTACGTGAAAAAACCCAACGTACAACGTACCTTACCACAGTATTACGTGAAATAAACAACGGACAACGTACCTTACTACAGTATTACGTAAAATAAACAACGAACAACGTATCTTACCACAGTATTACATGAAATAAACAACGTACAACGTACCTAACCACAGTAAAAACAGATTTATGTTTTTTGAAAAAATCTTTTGATAGTGCTAATAATGTTTTGCTTTAGGGTAATGCATTTATCAAAATTTTGATTAGCATACAAAACAATGAAGCTTCTTGTTAGCTAAAATGAAAATGTTAAAAGTTTGTAATGCGCAAAATCACATACATGTATAGCATACCCCAGTTATTCAAAGTGTATGGGACAATAAAGATTGACAAATTGATTGAATAAAATCCATTGCCTATTGACCATAGACTTAATAATTTATGTTTCATTTGTAAAAAATCTGACTTAACTGGTAATAAATAAATCACAGCTTTAAAACTTATACATTTACTTTCAAAAAAATCTTTGTGAATTTGCCTCTTTTACATCGTTCTCAATCAACTGGAGAATGAGTTTTACAGCAATGATGTTCTCTGTCTATTTCTGTTTGTAAAGACAGCTACGTATTGACCTTAATGTAACTAAACCCGTTATGAAAAACTTGCATTATTGTACGCGGTATTGAGAATCGTAAAATTTAAGCTTAGCAGGCTAGCGCTACACTCACGGTAATCAGCAAATCTTAAAAGAAGATAAACGTGGATATAATGTGCTGTTTTGTGTCCTTTTTGTTCTAATCTTAAAGTGGAATATAGATATAACATACTGAAACGATCACGTTATGTACAACAATGAAAGCAAAACGATGATTATGAGCAAATATTGATTTCAAGCTGCTCAAAATAATTGCAAGAGTTATCTCGCTTTAGTGCACTAGATAATGAAAATTGATATAAATTTTAGAAAAGAAACCGGAAACGACGTACATATTCTTATTACTTATTATATCATACTAATAAAACATAACAGGACATATTATTAAGGGCTTTAACTGGACATACAATGCTATTTTTATCTGTCGCCTGCCAGGTCGTGCTGTGATTCTACAGAATAAGGCGGCTCTGTGGACGGACGGACGGTACTTCCTGCAGGCCGAGGACGAGCTTGATTGTAACTGGATCTTTATGAAACAAGGTTAGATAACAGCTGACTTCATGTCAATCTTAACAGCTATTTGTTGTAAGGTCATCACGTTGTTTTAACGATATTTTATTGGTATATTACGATTGAGGTATAAATAAATTCATCTGCGATAGTACCTCGCTTGCTCTTCACGACTATGCTCCTTGTTTATACAACACATAGATTACAGTTCTGACTATGGGCATGGCTATTCTAAAGTGGTATAATGAATATGTGTTTAGGGTTAAACTTATTTGAACATCGTATTACATGATTTTTTTATGTCAGTTTGAAGCATTTAATTAACCTGTAATTATAAACTTGTGTTATTAGGAGAGAATGGGGTTCCTACCGTTACGGAATGGGTGGAAGCCAACCTAATGGACGGCCAAAGTCTCGGGGCCAACACCTACCTTATTAAAAATAGTAAGTCACGGAGTCCAGGAGCCAGTCGATTTTCCATCCTTGTTATTCAATACATACCTATATCTAAACTGCCTGTGCATTATTTCAAATCCTCTTCCTTATGTGTAATTTGGAGAACGCCACCTTCAAATATCACATACGCATACACATACAGATATCCCCTAAAATGTTGTACATTGCGGTATTCGCTTGTTGCCTTTTATCATATGTAGGCTGACTTTCGTTGCTGTTGCCAAGCTAAGAAATAAAACATTATAAATTAATTTCTGCCGAAAAGGAAAATGAAAGGTCTCAGTTTTCCATTGTCTGATCGCCTGAAGCGATTTATAGGGAAACAGTGTACAATCGACTCTTTCGTATACTTAGGAGACGTTGATATAATCTCCCTTTGCAACTCTTTTAATCTCTACCATTTCCTTTCTCTCTTTGTTAGCCTATTGTCAGAGTAAAATGAAACAAGTGAAATGTCATGCCTCTGTGTTTAGATGATGACTCTTCACTTTAGAGTGGCCAAACAGGATGTGGACAATGTCTTTAATGTCTTTATATGACCTCAGCTAATTAGAGGACGCAACCCCCCTAAAAATGAACAACATAAAATTAAAGAAACAACTGAAAAAATCCCACTGAAAATGTTGTTATTGTCACAAGAAACGAGTTACAAGCAACAGGAAAAGTTTTGTATTAGCTGTGAACAGGGTTATTGCCAAATTCGTCTCGTAGAGAGTGTTGACAAAAATGGATTAGACATTGATTGGTCCAGGAAGAGATAAATGTTTTCTTATTTGGAGAACTAGCTATTGTATGTACAGATGTATAGAATAAATTAACGAATGTTTTTGAAAATTAGTTTGGCCAATTATTTTCCTGCTACGCCTTAAATTTTCCAGGACCAACATGTCAAGTCGACTTTTTTCGTGCGCGGACAGAAAAACCATTCCAGCACCGTCAGGGTACTTCAAAGTCAAAATATTGATGTAATCGAAGATATAAAAGGCAACAAAAAGCAAAGGCAAATAGAGATAGTTTTATAGCTATCGTTTAAACCATATTTGCCTCTGTCCTTCAGTTTTACGCACCTCAGGTGTAATATGACGTTCCATTCGAGACGAATTCGGCACGTTTTGAGGCAAATGTCTGATTTTTTCTTCTTAAACTCTTAGTAAGTTTAATTGAGTTTTTGAAATATGCTGTAACATCTTTTATGTACATTGCAATGCTAATAACCGTCGTTAGAAAAAAAGGTTAGTCCAAGACTTTAGTAGCCATCCATGGATCAATTGGATGGACGTAGCACATTTTGAATTCCAAAGCAAAAAGATTCATGTTTTAATATTAAACTTTTTTTTTTAATACTAAACGTCGTTGTTGAAATTTAACAAAATGCAATCAAGATCAATTGTCATTTTCAGTTGAGTGGACTGAAATGTCTGAAACTCTAGCCAAGAAAGGAATTACTGTAAAGGGAGTCACACCAGATCTTATAGACGAAATCTGGACTACTGGTCGCCCCGCCGAACCCAATTCACCTATCAACGCCTTACCATTGAAGTACGCAGGTATGTATACGTCACACAGGAAATTGACTGAAACACACGTCATACATGTTGACACAAGTTCACAGATACGCCATAAGGAAGATTGACACTAGTACACAGATACGTCATAAGGGAGGCTGACATAAAGTACATAGATACGTCATAAGGGAGGCTGGCATAAATACACAGATGCGTCATAAGGGAGCCTGACATAAGTACACAGATACGTCATAAGAGAGGCTGACATAAGTACATAAATACGTCATAAGGAAGATTGACACTAGTACACGGATACGTCATAAGGAAGCCTGACATAAGTACGCAGTTACATCATAGGGGAGGCTGACATAAGTACATAAATACGTCATAAGGAAGAGTGACACTAGTACACAGATACGTCATAAGGAAGCCTGACATAAGTACGCAGTTACATCATAGGGGAGCCTGACATAAGTACACAGATACGTCATAAAGGAGGCTGACATAAGTACACAGATACGTCATAAGGGAGACTGACTTAAGTACAAAGAAACATCAAACATGAGACTTTCACAGGTACCCAGATACGTAATACTAGAGACTGTAACAAGTGAGCAGATACATGAGACTGCAAAAGCTTACGCAGAAACAATGCTTTTCAGCGTTTTTAATCAGGTTACTTCTGTCGAAAGCCTATTTTGATGGTGTATTTTCCCCCTAACGGATGCTGTTTTTACTTTAGGGGTTGACAGAGAATGTATACCATCGGACTGATTGAAAAATCTTGAACCGGTAAAACGGGAGTCAATTCTGTGAAAGACTCATGTTAAGATGATACGTATCAATTTCAATGTGTTAGAGATTATTGGCGCATTTTGAAGAACTTACTATCTTTCCGTTATTAAAATAAGATTTCTATTGTGTCACACAGGCCTATTCGGATAATGCAGGTCATATTTGACATGCTTCAATCAAACTTTGTTTGTAATATGCATACAATCTATTTCATGGTACGTTCCAGGGAAGTCTTGGCAAGAAAAAATCAACAACATGCACGTTGCTATGGAAGCAAAGGAAGCGGATATCATGGTGGTGACAGGACTGGACGAAACAGCATGTGAGTTTAAGTCAAACAAGTTATCCCTCTGATATGTTTAACAAATTCACAGTACATATGTATAAGTATATATTGCAATATATACAATGCATCAAAATGTTAGTATCAATTGTCTCAAAATTTTATCGTTTTGCTTCAAACTAAATTATTGTATATATGAATATTCAAAATAAAGTAAGTGTATTGCTAATCATAGGATTTGCACATGCGATTCATATAACTTGACCATGTTACAAGGATGTCTATTCTTTTATAATGCTAATGCATTCGCCACAAAATGTATATAATACTTGGCGGGATACTTCATGAAAGGCTTTTTTTTTTTTTTTTTTTTTACATCACATAGCAAACTCTCGACATCCATAGCTTATTAAAAATATTAATTGACAGATATTTTTTTACCGACAAATGCTAACCTTAATAGTCAATCCCACACTGCAAAGAGCTATATTTCTGTGATAAAAAATATTCTAGATTTATCTCCCTTGATGTTGTGTTGACTCCAATCTGAACTATCTTTTAAATTCCATGATGATTTTGAATTTTATCATCAAAAAAATATATAACATTTAACTGATATGAATAAACAATGTTATCAAAAATGGATATTGGTGTAACCCCTTATGTTCCGTCCTGCCGTAGGGTTATTCAACCTCCGAGCCTCGGATATTGACTACAATCCATTCTTGGTCTCGTACGCCCTAGTGAACAGACCAGGCAACAGTACTATGTAAGTACAATCAGGCAGCTCGTGCTCTGTGATGTTGTATATTGAGACTTGTTCATCAATATATATATTACTCACTAATTATCATGTCATAATTTTTTTCTCTTTCGTTTCTTTAATTTTTGTTTTAAAAATGTCATAAATATTGGTTAATTGTGTTCGTTAGAAAAGGTGGCGGACTCCGACATAACGACAGTGATTTTGTATTTGAACTGCAGGAAACAGCTGAAATAATTTTCACATGTGTTTTTATATTGTTCACTATATTTGACGAAAGACTCGGGTGTTCGTTTGCTTTATGATTAGAAGGCCAGTACCGTAACGCTAAGTTCGAGTGAAGTCATCATATCAAATCCCTGAGCCATTTCTTTCTCCGCCTGGCCCCTTTCCCGTCTAGTCGTGTCTACAATGCGCCATTGGTAGTACTGTAGTTTGCAAACTGTATTGCATCGTAGTTAAGTGATGAGGTTTAGTTGTGTTTGATAAATAGTTACATATTGAAATAATAAACTGTATATTATATAAATGTTTTAATTGTACATGATATTTATTTTCGGATAAATACGCATTTTGCAGGGATCGCGAATTCACATATGCCGCAAAATATTTTTTTATAAAATCCTGAGTCATACACGTTGAGAGACAAACTACTTCATCAAATCGTAAATTATAACAGAAAGAACACTTTTCGAAAAAAAACCTACTCTATAAAAATCGTCATATGTTATCATACCAATGTTAAGAGCTTCTCTGATGTTGTTTTTTAGTCTTTACATTAAAAATGCTGCAAACAAGTTGGTCGCCACGCCCACAGATGCCGCCACAACTGAAACAGTACAAGAACACCTTAACACCGGGTCAAGTGGGTCGTGTAACGGTCGTGTGGGCATGTGTGTTACTGTAAGTAAATCATATGACGTCATCCTTTATAAATGTCGGTGGTTGCCCTTTAACGAAGGTAACCCCTGCTGGTAACACCTGTCACGGGGTACTCCGTGGCATGTCAACCCCACACATTCAAATTATTCGGATAAGCAGCTATGCCAATAAAGAAATCTCCGAAAAGACAGGTTTATATATTAGACCTAAAGTAACATGTGAAACGGTATTCGTTGTTCTAATTTGCATTATTATGAAACAAGGCTAATGTTAACGGTATACCTTTGTAAAGCATGGATATTGCTCGATTGCAGGTCAAAGAATATAGCAATCAACAGCTACAGACAGATATCAACGCAGCTCTTTCATCAACAACTGGCTACGTGTGGGTTTCCTTCGGGTGTAGTCGGGCCGTTTACAGCAGTATTACAGCGACGGTAAGATACAGCAACATTCTTGTAGATATCGCAGAGAAACACTTGGCCAGTTAATGAAGATGCATACATTCCGTACGGATTTTTGTTTTTATTTGTTTCAAACTGCAGTGGTTGTCTTTTCTCATATGACTTAATTATTGTATATAGTTTTTTCAATGAGTTTTTTTTTGTCGTTGAATTATAAAACAAAAGCTTTATCCGTACAAATAACTGTTTTGGTTCAAATTTCCTTTGCAACATCATGTCCTTTAATCGAAATAATTGGACCAATAATTAATTTTATTTTTGTCAGGTACATATTATTTTTTTTCAACTTGATGAAGCAGATGTCTTTAGCACTCTGAAAGATATCAAAATGATATTCGTCAGATATGACCTTTGGTGATAACCTATCAAAATGTTTTTAAAGCCGTATTACGTTTTGTAGTGTATACATCTTTTCTACTTACACTAAGATATTTAAACATTCTTCACAATCTTCGCAATTAATAAGATTTTGTAAGCAAATCGTGCCAGGACTCGATTCAAAATAACTTGCAACCTTGATGTCAAGTGTGGAGTCGTTAGAAAATTGTAACGTAAACGCTAGCAAAATTGTTTTATTTCAGAGGGTTCTTCAAGGCAACACACCCGCCGCCTTGCAGAAGGCTCAGAAAAATACGGTGGAACAGCAAGGCATGCGGAACTCCCACGTGAGTAACACTTACTGTTTTATCTCCATGAATATATCGCAAATGCTGTAGGAAGTATTTCGACACTGTCTCATTTATTTGTTACTTTTTGTTCTAAATTTCAGATCAGAGATGCAGTTGCACTGATCAAATTTCTGGCAAAACTGGAGAAAGAAGTAAGTCTGTCGTTTGGTGCTTTTAACACTGTTCTTGTTATAATGTATGTGTAATAGTGTATATAGTTTACTGTCATACGACATAATACATGCATCAGTCTCGCGAATAGGTAAAGCGTACTCTGAAATAGTTTCTTAATCTTTAACCAGATAATTTTTCTTTCGTTGCGTTTTATTTCATTAACAAACTTTCCATATTTCTGAGTTTTTGTTTGGAGATAAAGCGCGCTGCAGAATACATTTGCCTAAAATTACTTCCAAGGAGGAAAATTTGATTTTTGTTTTTAATCAATAATTTAAGCAAACTTGAGCATTAAGCAAGATGAAGTTTTGTTTTACAATTCAAAAGTTAAAAATGATGGTAAAACATACATTTTCTCTCCAAAGTAAGGAGATTCGATAAGTACTCAGTATGCCACAAAGTTCGGTTCCGTTAAATCTTCAATTACTACAGCAAATCATATGCTGATATTATTAAAAAAATTGTTTTAAAAAGGTGAAAGAAAAAAAGCATTGGACAGAAGTGTCAGCTGCTGCAGATCTTAAACAGCACAGATTGTAAGTAACACACTTTGTGAAGGTAAATCGACATTACCACGCCATTACTACTTAAAATAAAGAGCGACCTACTAGTACTGTATTAGCAATATGTACACCATATGTGATGATGACTGGTCTGTCTCAAATTATGTATTCTTTAAATCAAAGTGTCTTACGGTACATATCCGTTAAACACATTGAGGAATCATGTCTGTTAAAACAGTGGTTCATGTAATATAACGACAAATGTTTGTGGGACGGTTTGAATACTACATGTACATTTGATTGTGTGCCAAAAGACATTTTAAGTGACCTTTCCATGGAAAGTTAAATCAATTTTTATTCTCAAACAGATTTTGATAAATTTACCTGCTTACATCTTTCCATAGACTAAGTGATTACTTTACCTTATTTGCAAAATCCGGCACTACAGTAACTGTCGAACCAACACCGGTTCGATTATTATGTCCAATCCTCATATTTGATTATAAATGCGTCAAAGTACAGAAACATATTTTGAATGAATTACGAAATATTTTCGACGAACAACTGATCCAAGGATATAATTTGTAGTTAAAATATATTTTGGATTAACCGTATTTACCAGTGTAAGATTTCTGTGTTTTTCGCCAGTGCTGTAAAGGATAATCGCGGCCTCAGCTTCCCCACCATAGCGGGCTCTGGGTCAAATGGAGCAATTATCCACTACTTCCCCACCAATGACACGGACAAAGCTATTACCACCTCTGACATGTTCCTTCTCGACTCCGGTGGCCAGTACCTGTAAGTTCCATCGTAGCTAAATACATATGCAGTTCATAATAATTCCTTCATGTGCAGTGTACATATGAATCTTTTGAAAACTATCACTTTCGTCAGGCCTAGTACATGAAAATATCACTTTAGTCAGGCCTAGTAGATGAGTTAGCACCTTAGTCAGGCCTAGTACATGAATGTATCACCTTAGTCAGGCCTAGTACATGAAAGTATCAACTTAGTCAGGCCTAGTATATGAAATAGCACTTTAGTCAGGCCTAGTAAATGAAAGTAACACCTTGGTCAGGCCTAGTACATGAAAGTATCATTTTAACCAGGCCTAGTACCTTAAAGTAATACTTGAGTCAGGCCTAGTACATGTACATATAAGTATGCCCTTAGTCAGGCCTAGTACATGAAAGTATCACGTTAGTCAGGCCTAGTACATGAAAGTATCAACTTAGTCATGCCTAGTATATGAAAGAATGACCTAAGTCAGGCCTAGTACATAAAAGTATCACTTTAGTCAGGCTTAGTACATGAAAGCATCAACTTTGTTAGGCCTAGTACATGAAAATATAACCTTAGTCAGGCCGAGTACATAAAAGTATCACGTTAGTCAGGCCTAGTACATGAAAGTATGCCCTTAGTCAGGCCTAGTACATGAAAGTATCACTTTAACCTGGCCTAGTACATGAAAGTAATACTTTAGTCAGGCCTAGTACATGAAAGCACCAACTTTGTCAGGTCTAGTACATGAAAATATCACTTTAGTCAGGCCTAGTACATGAAAGTATTACGTTATTCAGGCCCAGTACATGAAAGTAATACTTTAGTCAGGCCTTGTACATGTACATATAAGTAGCCCTTAGTCAGGCCTAGTACATGAAAGAATCACCTTAGTCATGCACAGTACATGAAAATATCACCTTAGTCATGCCTAGTACATGAAAGTAATACTTTAGGCAGGCCTAGTACATGCACATATAAGTATGCCCCTAGTCAGGCCTAGTATATAAAAGTATCTCTTTAGTCAGGCCTAGTATATGAAAGTATAACTTTAGTCAGGTGTAGTACATAAAAGTAATACTTTAGGCAGGCTCAACTTAGTACATGAAAGAATCTTGTAGTACACGAAGGTATCACTTTAGTCAGGCATCGTAACGGAAATATCAACTAAGCAAGGAAGACTACAAGTAAAAAAGTATAAAAGTGACTATCATAAAATGTATTTGGTTAATCAGGAGTTCAAATCAGAACACTTTAAGCGCTAGGTTTTATATAATAATTTTTTATCTGAAGTTATCAATATATTTGTAAACTAAGTATACTGATTCATTGATATAGGGACGGTACCACAGACGTTACAAGAACACTTCATTTTGGAAATCCCACAGCATATGAAAAGGTAACAATCTGCTATCTAATGCTGCGTCTGTTTAATTTTCAGTAACGTTGCATTATCCTGTTTCGTCGTATCAAGCTTTATGTTATTTACATATTTTTTTCTAACGCCGTTTCTGGGCTCTACCAACAACTTACTTCCATTGGACTTCCTAGGCACATGCAACATTTTTTCAATCGAATTTTATCTGATGGAAAATGAGAATAAACGTGTTTCACCTAAAAAGTAAACATAACTAATGAGTATAAGACTGTTATATATATATATATAATTGACATCTTTAATCATTAACAAAGAGTCCGTGTTATTTGGTTTGTATGTCTAAGCAAACGATTTGCTTTCGACTAAACATGCTGCAAACCATCGATATATCGATCAATTTCGAGTAATTTAGTATTATAGACCAAACTTGCTACACATCATCGATATGTCGAGAACTTTGGAGTAATTTAGAAATTCGAATTGACAACATAATCCATAGCGGCAATACAAAAATACACTGCCTAGTTCATGAATATTAATACGATTAGTCTAGGAGACCCACAATTATGAACCGCTTTCACAAACCCATGGCGTAACAAGGTCATTCTGAAAGTTTGGTATAGTGTCCGCCTTGATCACCAGAGAGAAATAAAGAATATTGTGTGGGTTGTTTTGAATTATTCAAACAAGTGTATGACAACTAAAGCATGTGTACAATATCATCCCTAGAGTAATTCTTCATGTTAACAGTTTGTAGACCTTCATTAGTTTTATTGATAATAAGTTTTATAGTTATATTCGAAAGGAAATGCATTAAGCCAAAATGGCGGACATCATACATATTTTTTTTAAAAAGTCATAAATCAGAATTTTTTTTCAACGAGATGTCTTGTTCTTTGTAATCTTAAACGGTGTTTGTAAGTAATGATATTGTTTAAACGCAATGTTTTTGTATAGGTATTAGAAACAGTAGGTAAACGAGATTGAAGAAAACATGACTTCGTGAAGAATTGTTTTTGGCGATTCACAGATGTTTCCTCAACACAGCTTGAAGCTCCATATATGTACATCGTTCTGATCATTCTGAAGCTATTTAACACTTTTGGTATAAATTTTACAGGAATGTTACACGCTAGTGTTAAAAGGTCATGTTAATTTGGCCGTTACAATTTGGCCATCTAATTTGTACGGTAAGTTCAGGGAGAACATATTTACATTACGGCTACCCGGAATCTCTCTGATTTTTTCCTTGTGTCACAGGCCTTGGTGGTGGTATATACCTGCCAGTTCATCTTGCTGCTAGTTTATGTACTATTATCCTACTTTATATACACGTGTTATTGCTCTATCCACCTTGCGAGTTATCGTGTACCCTATTGCTTTACATTTAACTTTTATTTAGGTTTATGTCTGATAAAATACCCGACAAAATAAGTTATCCAATACATTATTGATAGTAGCACTTACATATTAAAGCCTAATAGATAGTATACGTGAGGTAATACTATTTACACTAAGCAAAGTGTATCCATTTATTCTATAGCGACCATAAAGCAAAAAAATCAAAACGCACTTAGCTTACACTGGATCACCACTTCCGTCATTTATGAAGGACTAGAAACCGTTCAGAGGATGATTTGTGAGTAAGTGTAAAGAATACTGGATCTCTGTTGTACATGTAACACATGCCAAAGAGATATTGCAGTGAGAACATGAGAACCTGTACAGCGGATATGTTCAAGTACCAGGATCTCACGGAGTACCGAGCCTCCCATCAACATCATACGCGTGGGTGATATATGTTTAGTTCTCTTCAACTGGTTGTGTGTGCCTCTGTTTATTTATAGGAGTGTTACACTCGTGTTCTTATGGGTCATGTTGACTTTGCCGATGTCGTCTTCGTCGGGGGTAAACTTGGTGAGTCCATGCTCTAGCGCATGGCTTGATTGCCCCCTCCCCCCTCCTCCCGTTAACTCCATGGTTTTTTTTAACTTTAATTACTTACTGAGAATGTTTAATATTAAGATATCTTTTCGCTCTAGGAATGCTATACCCGTGTCCTTATGGGTCACGTGGATTTAGCTGATTTTGTATTTACTGGAGGTCACCTAGGTGAGTCAGTGATGTTGTCATAACTTACAAGCACGCATACTAATATGGGATCGGTAGATCATTTATACTTAATTTGTGTACAACCTTGCCGGCAAAAACATTATATATAACGCTATGAAGTATTAGGTTAGATTAAATACTCAGATTGCTTAGACTTTAGTTAGATCTCTGCATGTAAATGTAGGTGGTGTTTGGTACTACACGATTTCATTTGTATGTTTTACTACATCTTTATGTATGTTGCTATGTATATGTGTGTTTGTCGTTTTGCATTTTAACTTCTTATTAGTGTAGTTTAGTTTTCCCCATTAAAGTGCAAGTTGTACTTCATATATGTGTAAGCTACACTCTAAAGATAAACTATTGTTTGTTGCAGTATATGTACATGCACGTGATGCGTTGTCTGTTTTGTTTATCGCATTCCTTTGCAAAGAAGTAACCTATCTAAACTTAACTCTAATCCAAACTCCTACAATGCTTCCCTGAGAAAAAGTACTCTAGTGCTTTCCAAAAGTAATTGTCCACTTTATAACAAACTGTATTGGTATGTAAGCCTGTGTCGAGTGTATTCCGTAATATTTTATAACATAAGTAATGAATATGAAACTAACCGAACATTTAAATTTATATTGCAAATTGCAGTGTAGTCAAGAAATTAAATAACCTCCCGTTGCATGTGACGTAATAGTACTGATTTAAGTCAGCTCCAAGATGAGCCATTTCATAAACAGTATTCGATTATAGGCGTATTTGGATTGAGATTATGACTATTTAGGCCAGGGAGGGTTTGATGATGATGATGATGATGATAATGATGATGATGATGATGATGAAAGTTACCCCCCCCACGACAGGGCTTGCTCTGGGTCTTGATTTAGTTTCCCCAAATTTTTATATGTGCACAACAAGTGCACACGCGGTGGGGCGCGTTAATATACCAGTCCCCTCCCGCTAGCTCTTTAACTTTGATTTAAACATCATATTATCTTATTATCTTATTATATGCATTTTTATGTATTCTAAACAGGAAATCAACAATTGAAATGAAGTATATTTTCTATGTTTTATGACACCCCCCCCCCCCCCCCCCCCCCCCCCACAAACACTACAAATAATTTAATATTTTTTCTTTATTTCTGTGACATTCACTGGCCTTCTGCATCCCAATTTCAAGACTATTATATATAAATGAACTGCTGAATACAATATATTTCATTTTATTTTATAGTACTACTATTTTGCTGTAACAATTTGATTAGGTTTACTAAATTGAAAAAATAATAAAAGAGAAAGTAAAATATATTTCTGAAGTTGAACCATACTGGATTTGAATATTTTTCTTGATTGCATATGTAATCAATTGTTTTCAGCACTTATATTTGTAGATTTACTAGCTAGCTGCCACTTTGTTAATATTTAATACTTTATGCATATGTGCTTTAAACTATGTTGCTTTGCGTAATTATTAAAAAGAAACATATTTCTATCTGCAAAGAAGCTAGGATTTATAAACAATGTTTTATGTAAGTACATTTTTAGTCTTTCTTTTAGTGACCTGATGAGGTATATGGTAAATATTTGAAACTGCAGTTGACAAAATGCTTCCGTTTCCCTTTTGATAAAACAACATTTATGTACGAAATGCAAATCCATGCAATGTTATTTGATATTCACGGAAATCACTATACCTTACATCAAAAATTCGCTAATTGTACCTGTATGTTATGTTAGCATATGTTATTTATTCAGGTCGGGAAATAGACACAATAGCTCGGCGTCCTCTGTGGGATGTTGGCCTGCAGTACCGTCACGGGACCGGACACGGTATAGGCATGTACCTGAGTGTGCATGAAGGTAGGTCAAAGGTAGAACTGAACAGGTCAAAACTACCTGTTGCGGTATTCATTTTTCCTCTGTGACTATTTATCACAGACACTGATTCGATTCTCGAGAGGGTCAAACATTATGTATCATAACCTATTGTTGGCAGACACACGTACAGTGAAACGGCTGAGTTTGTTTACTGATTTTTTATATTATAAATGAAATAGTAGTACATATGTTTGTGAAATTTGATTCAAAAGCATTGTTCCTAATTTTTCCTAACTGAATTTTCGGTTAGAAACAAGTATAAACGTCGTCATACAAGAGCCTGGAATATGTTGTATAGCTAGATAATTCTGGTACATAATTAAAGTGTATTAGAAGACCATTTGTTGTGAGTTATGGTTATATATATTTTGTTATATACATATTTATATAAAAAAAACCTAATAACAAAAAATAAAATAAAATCCTGAAAACAAGAAAAAAGATAGAAACAATACCATAATCAATTGTTTTAAGAATAATTAAGTGTTTTTCTTACCAAAAACGTATAGCTGGATGTCATTTATATATTAAATACAACTATATCTAAATGTCTTTTTTATACTTAATGCCATTAGTTAATACAACTGTTATACATTACAGGGCCTGGGAGGATATCTCTGTCTCATGCTAGTTTTATCCATGATGAACCACTTGATGAATTCCAATTCTTCTCCGATGGTAAACTTAATTCGTATAAATGAACGCTATGAACAAGTCATTAATAAGCATGAAAACGTTTATTAAAAAAAAACCCACACAATAAAAAGACGGAATATTTAATAAAAAAAAGCGGAATATTTTCTTAAATGCTTATTCACTACTTGCACAAGTTCATCGCATTTTACATTGTTGTTGCCCAAAGTCAGTCATTATTGTCCTTACTGTTAACTAGAACCAGGCTATTACGAAGATGGCAAGTTTGGAATCCGTTTAGAAAACATTGTCATGATAAAGAAGGCAACTACAAAGGTAGGTAATAGTGAGAGTGCGTGTTATGTTGCTACGTAAGGTACGTTTTGTTTTCGTACATATAACTTGAAATAAGACCTTTGATATGGAGATCACTCAAAGATAAAGAGTTTTATTTAGTAAACACACATTATTTGTATACAAAATTTGGTTATCAGCAATTGTATTTCCGTTTGTTTGTTTGTTTATTGTCATGTGCGTTTTACACGTTGCTGTTGAATAATACAATTTGCCTTGTCCATAGAACGAAAATAATGTTGTAAAATCATTTGACAATACCTGTTTACAAATTAATATCAAAACGTGATATCTTGATTTCAGTATCAGTTCCCGGGCACTACATTCTTTACGTTCGAAACCGTAACTATGGTACCATACGAGCCTCATCTTATTGTTAAAGAGCTGCTGAGCCAACGAGAGGTTTGCCATTTTGCTTTATTTATACATTATACTTTGATAGTGATAATCGTAACCTTTGTTTAGTTTTTTTTTTTACACTTTGCGTTAGTCCTCTGACAATTAAAAAGTCAAAAAAAGTACCAAATAAATATAATACTTTCTTGTATTTTGTTTGCTCCTTAACAATAATTCATTTATTTCATCAATGCACTGGTAATCATTTGATACAAACAAGTAATGATCTAAAATAATCTTAGTCGATTTATTGTGTCAAACCTATTGAAATTCTCTTTCTACCAATTTCTGAATATTTCGAAATTCCTTCGGTATAGGTGGACTGGATCAATGCCTACCACAAGACCGTTCAGGATACTATCAGCCCTCTCGTATCCGACGACGCTTTGGCCACATCCTGGCTCCTTGCAAGGACAAAGCCGATAAGTCTGGACAATGAAACGGGAACTGGACATCAGCTGACCGCTCTTCTGAGTCTAGTGATGCTAGCGTGTGTCACTCATTTCATACTATAGTTATTCATAATTTCCTTTCCTAGAAATAAAACGTATATTTCAAATAGCAAATATCAAAACAATCGATCCCACGGAAAAGGCATTGAAGCCATTACCCTTTTACTTGTTTACTGTCATAAAGTAATCCTACGGTAATTGTGATTTTGAACAAACATTCATTAATATACTATATAATATGCCCGTACTGACAAATCTATAATATCAAATGCATTGGAGTCAGGTACTATATAACTTGTAACACCTTAACTTCGGAGGTTATATTTTCCTTACATTCGCGGCATGAAAAATATTGTTTTACTTACGTTATATGATAAAAGAAACAGAAGTTGTTCCCGTTTTGATAAAGCGTTGTCTATAATTGTTGCGCGAATATTGAACTGCGTGACGTTGTTTCAAAACAAAATTGCAAAATAAATCAAAGCAACGCACTTTAGTTAGTTTTTATTGACATATCAACTGTTATTATATATCAGAGTATACATTTGTATATATTGTTATGTATCTCATAGTGTGCTTGTACTGAAATATTGACAGTGATATATTTCCGTTGCTAATTCCCAGTTCTTTTTTTGAACAACGAGAATAGAACAAGGGTTTCAGTCTGTAACTAAAAACAATGATAGCATATTTCTAGTTTCCATATCTAATAATCTCTTACAGAGCCCGTTCTTAAGCTAGAAGTTGCCTATTTAAAATTATAATATTATCTACTTGGAGAGGAAACTTCAGGTGACGAGTAAAGCTTTCACAGACTTATCTCCAAGAACAAGTTTTGGAAACAATAATGGAATAAATATGAAAATGTGACATAAGTGATGAGTTGATTAATGAATGCCTTGTTGCCTCTGCATTGATGAACAGTCCACAGACCAGGTTCGGAAATCAAGGCTAGACTCAAGTGGAGTTCGTAATTGTATAATAACACTGTATAGAAAGCTGGTACTCGCATATCTATGTTAAAAGTACACGTGTATTAACGAAACATTTATCCTGTATGTGCTACATGTGTCAGACACTCGAACTCGTTTAATTGAATCCATTTCATACTTGACCAGACACAACACAATTGGATCATATGTTCTTTTGGACTCGCTAAGGTTTTATATTTTTAATTGTTTCTTCAAGATGAAGTACTTAACCACTACAATTTTAATTAGTATAGAAATTGTGTTGGTCATTACTCTTAATTTTATCTGTGGTGTATATAATAATGTATTAAAACGTTTTGTTGATTCCCTGTATATATTTGTCACATTTGTTCGTGTATATATTTGCAAGGTTTGTAAGAAATAGGCGTCTGCGTCGTGTGTTAGTTACATTATAAAACAATTTTATACATTTCGGTTTTTTTATCATAATCTGATTTTTACTGCTTTAACTATCGGAATTATGTCCGAAATTCTATTCACTCTCGTTTTATAGATATATATATTAAAAAATTGCGTTTGCATATTTTAGGAAAGCTTTGCTACAGTATAGCGGGATATTCTACTGAAAATTGATTTTGGGGATCAGGTAGACCAACATGTAGATGGCTTACATTACAATTGCTAATGATTTTTCATCTTTGTGTAACTTCCTGAAAAAAAAGTACCTTAAACACTTATATAAAATATATAAATTAAATACTTATATCAAATACATAAATTACTTTATTGTTCATATGAACTGCAGCAGAAACATAATAACAATTCAATAACTTTGCTATTAAAATAAAAGTCCCAAGCATATGATACAGCACCAAAGCTTAATTTTCAAGTTAATCCAAACAAACTTTACATCCAACACTATTTTCCCTGCTCAGTGTTAACGATAAACCAAGAGAAGACCGAAGGTCCTTGTGATGCCTAGAAAAGTATAGCAGTCTAAGTTTCACTAATGTTATCTTATTACTACTTCCCAAGAATCTTTATTAGATAAAATTTGAAAAAAATGCAAATGACAGTTTATGTTGAAACTAAAGGAAAGTCTGAATTATATTAAATGGATCGATGCTAGAGTTTTTTCCAAGTTGGAATAAAGTCATCCTTGCCAGTTCTTTGTATTTAGATAAATGTAACTGATACTTAAGAACATGTTAACATGAAATACCATAATTTGAAATGATGCCATGAAAATCAAAAGTACACATTCCTCAGCGTACATTGATTTTTTTCTGGTGAAGCACCATGGCTACATACTCTATTTTTCAACAGGCTTTTGGTGATATATCTATACAGAAAATCTTCAAAGATAAGAGCCTGAGCTTATGTAGCGCCTCAATTGTAACATGTAATCTCCAAACAGGGGAGTGATGCTTTGTTGTTACTAAGGAAGACAGCGTTAAGGGTCGTGAGGACAAGCGAGTCTTGTATTTGGTCGTAAGGTGACCATTAATATCGTGATATACATGATATATATATATACGACGCTGTATGTCATTTCTTGTATCTAGATATTCATTGCATATGATGATGCCCTTATTATTATAGTTCCCGTAGAAAAGTGAGAGGTTCACAAAATTATTTCATTGATAGCGATTCATTTGTATTTTCGTTCTTCAGATTTAGAAAATCTATTACTATACGAATTTTGTTTTAAAAACGTGATTGATTTTATAGGTGTCACATTGTCAGCCGAAAAATTGTTATTGCACATGTAAGATACATACAACCCTGCATAATAGCGTTAGCAAATGAAGAAAATAATGTGACAGAAATATCACCAATATTAATAATAAAGACTGATTACTTGGTATGACATAAAGCTTGTGTTGTTTGTTGGTAATTACATTATAAACCATAACACCATGTATACGCAGAAGCACTAGGTTATCTCTATACCGCTGCAATTGTTTAAGTTTGAAAACGTGTTTCTGGCATGACAATAAAACTATTTCTGAGAAGAAAACTTAGACTTGCGGAACTTTTGTGAAAAAATAGGCAAATTGAGATCAACAAAAAAACATTGTTCTGAGGATGAAAATGTATCGGGGTTAATACCAGGATCGGAACTCTGCACCTCCTGTTGATGTAACCAACCGAACTACCTGGTCATTAGTATTCTGGCCCAGTCACACAACAGTTATACCCAGAACGAAATTTAGAACGACACACACTGCTCAGTTCTACTTCCAAATTCAGTACATGTAACAAGTAGTTCATCCATCTATTTACTTACATGTAAACAAAAAATAAAATAACATAAGTGGGTCAAGTGTATCCTTATTAAGTCTGGAAAGTGTGTACTCATCTTTGTCATCATACTGATTCTGCAATGCATACTACAATGTGTTTGAACTGGCAATATTTCCATTTTCGTTTGAAGTAAGGGGAGGCAATGACTCTTCTTTCTCCCGCCGTCCACTGAATTCTCCTCCCATACGGTGAGTGTAAGCTAGAGAAATGTCAACACTAAGGGTGATTTTTTTGAATTTCAAACCCTCAGCTGAAATCAAACCTTAGGTTAGACAATCAAGAATATAACCTCTCGATTAAAAAATGCTTTGTCAAAAATGCGCTCAAACATTTAACTACTTGAGTATTAAAACAGGTCACTTTTCCCACTAACAATCATATAGACTATGTACAGGGGAACCGGATATCATATTGTCAATGCCATTGTTGAAGTTGATGAACTGCATTATTAAGTACTAGTAAGAAAACACAAAGAATAAATATATAAATACATATTAACGAACCAGCGCTGTACTATACTAATATAAATAATCTTAAAATATATTTCTATTTGAATAGAATATGGAATGCTGTTTTAATTCTAGAAATTCTTGGAATCACTTGAAGCTTCATGTTTGTCAGACACTTACAGCAACTTTCATTGTTTACTCAATCGTCCCTTAAATCAAATTTGTAAAAACCTCTTTATTGCTCTTTCCACAAAGTTGAAAGTGCTATTCCTGTCGTTATTCCCTATTACTAATTTATAATATTAATTCGAATAATCAGGAAAGAAGAGTTAAATGCAAAACCAGGTAAAAGAAAAAATGCGTTATCTCGTTGGAGGAGCTGTCGACATGCATAATGTCACAAATGAAATAAGTGCAATAAGGCAACACTCTAGCTCTTCCGATCATTGCTATCACAACAGAACACTAAAACAATTGTATTACTAAACTTGTAGATATCTTTAAATGCCAAACATTCTATTTGTACAGTTTTATGAATGATCACAAAAGAACTATAAACAGCAGCCCTTTCATCTATTATCGTTTTCAACCTGCTTTGAGAGCATACAGTTACACAACACTAAGGGAATGATGGTGATGTTTTTTAAATTATTTGACAACTTCTGTATCAACATATTCATTACCTTACCCAACGCAAGGTCACCAAAGTGCTGGCTATTCCTTCTTGTTACAGAAATCAACACATAAATTATATGGACCTAACTAAATGGTGCATTTTTCTGGATATCAAGAAACTAATCCATTGAAATCAACGACATCCCGCCATACCTTATAAACTCATCACTGACCCTTGATGTGGAGTTCATAGGTACATGCTGTGAATGACATAGGTATAAATGTATACACAACACGGCTATGTCTATGATGTGGAAAAAAAATCAGTGTATGATTAAGCTATGTATGGTTACTTTGACACAGTCACGGTATAGAGACAAATGTGGCCCTCACGGTGTACTAGTAGCTATGCCCAACTAATTTTTTTTAAACCAAAAGTGATTTATTTCTTGTCATTTTCCTAGAGACTACCATAACCTGATTACAAAACAGCAATCAGAACCATGTTATCTTCAAAATTGGATTTTTACGAATTTTTTGAAATCGTGAAATTTCACAATTGTTTTTTAGCATTTTCCTGAAAACAATCAAAAAAGCGTACAAGGTCAATAACATGGTATATAT